TGGATATGATTCCTTTATCTTTAATCAGAACTCTAATCTCATATTTTGAGTCCTAAATATAAAAAAGATTCTAGTAGGAAGCGATTTTTCCTTTAATGGATCTTAACTAATACAAAATTCAGATTAATCAAATTCCTAATATAAATACTGAACACGATACGAGAAATTAAAAAAAATAATAATTTGGACATGAAATAGTTAGGTGAAGTTCCAATTTTTGAGTTTGGTGAGCAGTCAGCTTGATCTTTTAGCTTCAACCAAAGGACATATTACTAATTAAGAACATTTATTCCTCAAGCCATTATTATTAATCAAAGGAGTTAAATTTACTAATAAATGTCACAAGTTTATTAATCCATGCTTCAAAGTTTCTCTTTCCTTTTTAAAAATATATTTTTTTATAATTAACTTAATTATGTTTTTATCTTAATCTATATGTAATATTTTTTATTTCTATGTAGTCCTGACATCATTCTCTCTCTCTATATATATATATAATTTTTTTACAATATTCTCAACTCTTAACAATGATTTCTAAATAGTCCTAACAAAGGTAATAAAATGAAAACAAAATTTAAAAAAATTATAATGTAAACTTGGTAAAAGAACAAGGAAGAAACAAATACCAAACAATGAATAGTCATCAAAAGAAATATAGTTATATGAATAATATCTACTACTTACTCTGTTTCAATTTATTGGATCTACTTTTCTTTTAAGTCCACTTTTTTAAATGTCTTTTTTTTTTTTTGGCAATTCTTCTAATTTTCCATCTGACATGTTTACGATTACAAAATTAAATATTAATAGTACATGACATATCTTTAGATTATTACTACGAGGTTTGAAAATCTACTTTACTTTTTTAAATTTCGTGTTAAGTTAAAATCAAATAAACAAATTAAAATAGAAAAAATATTCCTATTCTAAATAAAAAAGAGAAAAAGGATCTTAGATGGTGATAGAGGATAAGTAGGGTTCAATATTCAAAGAATTGCCGCAAAGTGAGAATTGGGAATAGTATTCGAGGTGTAGAGAGATGAATAAAATTTCTTCGTTGTTAATGAGAAATCTTAAATTCGAGATATAAGTAGATCAAAATATTAATAGAAAATGATTTCCTTGTGTTTTTTTTTTTTTTTTGTCTACTTCCCTTTTACTCAGGGTAGTGAAAATTCAAGATATTAGGAGTAATAAAATTTTATTCAATATGAATCTGAATTAATTTGACTTGGTAAATTTAAATAACATATGATTATGTTGAATTTTTTTTTCAAATATATACGAATTCCTAACAGGACAAATCTTTGGTATTCTTTTCATATTTATATTAAAGTTTTGCGGCAAATTTGAAATTCTCTTCTCTTCTCTTGCTTTATCGTTATCATAATTTATTAAGGGTTATTTGATTTTAAAAAAAAAAGTAATTTAATATAATATTTTATATAAAATAATATAATATTTGGTTGTACAGGAAACAAATAATTGATGTATCACTAATGCAATGATTGGACGGTAGAGGTATTAAATAAAAATTCTATATTATATTTCATGACCTAATCAACAATGTTGAACTGAATTTTCTTAATTTCTTCGCATATTACTTTTTCATATTATGAATCTTCTTTGTTAAAATCTTCGTAAACCAATGGCGACAACCCCCTCCCCCCACCCTTCCAAAAAAATAACACGAATTTTTCACACGGCGATCTTTATTTGAAATATGAGGGGCTAGAACCCTTTTGGAGAAAAAAAATATTTTTATGTTAAAATTCATGACATTATAAATGGTCCAACATTGAACAAGTCATGTCTATGTATTAAATGTTCATAACTGTGGCCACTACAAATCATCATATGGTAAATCTGACTCACTAGCCCATATAGTTTTCCTATTATTTAATTGATATTTGTATTAGAATTTGATTATATTTGGATAGCGTATTATTGTAGAGTCTATTTCTAAGGAGGTGTTTTTAATAGAATCTTTTCATTCTATAAGAAGCTCAAATTTGAAATATTTGATAAGGATAAAGAGATTACAATCAATCATCCCGTCATAATGCATGTTGATATCATTCAATATAATTTCTTTTTAGTTTTTCATCTGGTATCTATAATACAGCTCAACTAAATTTGAATTTGTGCATTGTAACATTTCTGGCAGCTCGACTAAATTTGAATTTGTGCATTGCAACATTTCTGGAGTCGACGACGCTCCCAACATGTTTTTTTCTTTAATTTCATGAAGTTCGAACCTGATATCTCTGGTTAATGGTGAAGATGAAGATCACAACCATCCTACTATAACTCATGTTGTTATCAACACATAGTGTTTCTATTTATTTTTTTATCCGATGTTCGCATTGGAGTTCAACAGAATCAAAATTCATGCATTGTAAAACCCATTTCTAGAGACAACGACACTCTCCACATGATTTTTTTCCCCAAAATTCGAATCCAAATTCTCTGATTAAGGGTGAAGATTAGGATCACAATATCCCACTATAATCCATATTGGTATCATCCCATTGAGTTTCTTTGTGTATTCTCATTCAATATTTGCATTAGAGTTTGACTAAATCCAAATTCATGCATCACAAAATCCAGTTCTGGAGACGATGACACTCTCAACATAATTTTTTTTATTTTAAAAATTCAAACTCGAAACCTCTGATTAAAAGTGAAAGAAACTTTAATTTAGCCATACATATACTACTACAATTCTAGTCCACCACCTTTCCTTTTCTTGAAAAAAGATGCACATGTTGAGTCAACATCAATTGTACGTTTAACATTTCTACATTTTTCCTGTTAAATTCAAATATATGGTTATTCAACTTTTATTTTAGTGGACCAAAATCATAAAATTAAATATTTGTAATAAAAAATAAATTACACTGGCAGTATATATTACTTAAACGATCTTACATAAGGTAGATTTTTTAAAATTTATGTCTAAAGTGAAACATAAAATATCAATTAAAAGATTCTCGACACATTTGATATGGTACCATGTACTATTAATTTAATTGCACCTCACCTTTAATTAATCTCTAATATGTAGAGCCAATTAAGATTTCTTTTTTACCATAAAGAAAGTACGAGGTTTTTGTAACTTTTGTGATTGGTATCAAGTAGTTTTCGGCATAGATAAATTCAAAATTTAAAGTTTATAATTTTTTTATATTAATTTTAAGTTTAATATATAATAATAGTAACTTAATTCATGATTAAATAATTATAAATAAAATGTAATTTAAAATTTAGATTTTCAATAAGTAATTTTAAAATTCTAAATTCATCTCTAATCGAAGGTTGTTCTAACCTTAACCAACAAGTGTCCTTGTTGCTGACTCCTTGCCATTGCACAGCCAGCACCAGTTTCTTTTGTCTTTTGCATCAACAACTTCTTTTGAATAGCAATTATGATAAATATGACTTTTTTGGTAACTTCATTTTTTTAATTTTTTTTTAAGTTTGATTTATTTGTATCCATATTGAAAATTCACTTTATAAGGTAAAATATTCTTTATTAAAGATGACTCTGTACTCTGAGTTTACATTTGAGACCTCTAATTAATAATTGATACATACTTATAATCACATCCTACAATCTTTGATGATATTTGGTGTGCATTAAGAAATATCGTAACTAAATGATAAATATTTATTCATTCTTAACTAGAAAATGAGTTCGGGTTCTATACATAATTATCTTTATTTAACTTAAAACCTTCTCAACTCAAATCTTAATCCAATATTTTACAGATATTAGACACCAAATAAAAAACGAAAAAAAATAAAGTAGTATTGTGCATCTTGTCAATGTCCATATCAACAATTAAATCTTCATGTACTAATTAGTTTTGTTTTTATTGCCATAGTAGCATAGATACTATCCATGTGATTTGGACTACAAACCTACACCCTCCCTGACCCCCACCATGAAAAATATATTATATTATTAGATATTTTTACCTGTTATATTAATAATTTAGTTGTTTGGCTGCTGAACTTTCATCTTGTTTGTAATTGTTCGATTTTTCATCTTGTAATTTACTTCTCAATTTCTCCTTTTTCTACTCCATTACTTTATTTTAATGAAACAACCGTGTTATATATAACAAGTAATTATGTTACTTTAAAATTATAAAATTTATATTTGAAGAAGGTTTACCTATAAATATCTTAGGATAATTTGATGGTGCATGTAAAAAATAATTGCCCCTAGAATTTGGTTCGGGGAAAAAGCTCATCGCACGTAATGTACGAATCAGGTTTATACTTGAGCAAAGACGAATAAAAGGCGATTTTGTTATCCACGAGGCTAAATTTTTAGACAAAGTTACAACATTTGATCACTCGTCAAAATTTTTTTACTACCGCTAGTCGATACAACAATTTAGCAATTTTAATATGCTTTTTGTTTTTCCGAAATGGAGCATTACTCGCCTCACTTTGTGAGATTATAACGGATATGTTGTTGATGGACCGTTACTCTTTGCATTCAGTAGAGCTTACCATTCTAATTTTTAAAAGCCCAATAGGCCCAAAACTGAGAAGTGTATGTAAGCCCAATCATTTTGTGGACCATTGGCTTTTGATTGGATGATTTACATATATAACCACTTAGGACTATTATTTAGAATATTAACCAATGCTTGAAAAGAACACCTCCCTCTTTAATGGTCTTACGTGGTGCGGATATAAATTAATCAGGACTAATAAATGAGTATCGTACACCAGGTGAAAACAAACGATACATTAAGTGACGAGATGATGAAGTGGTATGAGGTAGGTGTTTGGCTAAGCATTTTCTAGCTTATCTACGCGTTTGGTAAATAATAATAAAAAAAAAGTCTTTTACTATCTTATCCCTAATATCTTTGTAATATTTTGAAATACTATTCCTAAGACATAGCAACTCCTAAGTAAATAAGGGGAATTTCAATAACAAACTTATTAATACAAAAATTTCCAAACCCAAACATATATAATTGAAGTAGAGAAACATCATTCAATCTCACTCCTAACAAACCAAAAATAGGAAAAATTAAAACCAAAAATCAATTTATGCCTCTGAAATTTAATGTTCTTGACTATATAATATAAAATAGAGAAAAGTGAAAGAATTTTTTGTCAAGAATTAATTTTCATAGATTGCTGCAATTTTGCAAATAGGACATGCATTTTTATGCATAAGCCATTTCTTTATGCACTCAATGTGATGGTAGTGTCCACATTCTAGTTTTCCAATTTCATCATCAACTTTGTATCCTTCCTGCAAATATGATATTGTAAATGAGAATGTTAATATTAGTAATATTTTGTTATTGTGTGCTAAACTTTTTGAGGAAAACAAGGAGGCGGTTCGGTGTACTAAGTTCCCGCTTTGTATGAGATCGGGGAAGGTTGGACTACATTGGATCTATTGTACGTAATCTTATCTTGTATTTTTTGGAGGAGGTTGTATCTATGACCTCCTAGTCACATGCCAACAACTCTTATTTATGTGTTTTTTATTTTTTATTTTTAAAAAGGTAGCTTAGTGCACTATGCTCCCATTATATGTAGAATCTAGGAAAGGGAGGGACTACACTAGGTCAATTATACACCACCTTTCTTGCATTTGTTCCACTATTTGAACATGTGTCCCGTGATCGCACGATGACAACTCTTATTATTGTATTAAAATAAAAATAAAAAATGCAATCATGTGCATTAAGCTCTTGTTATGTGCGGAGTTTAGAGAAGGTTTGAACTATATCAAGTTTATTCTATGCAGCCTTACCTTGTATTTCTGCAAAAAGTTATTTTCACAGCTTGAACTAATGACCTCCCGGTCACACGACGACAATACTTATCATTACGCTAAAAAAAAAGAAGGTAACCTAATACATTAAATTCCTGCTATGCACGAGATTCCAGGAAAGGCCATGTACCATATATATCAGGTCTAATGTATGCAACCTTACTTAGCATAAATGCAAGAGACAATTTCCTCAACTTGAACACCTTGACCTCCTAGTCACACGATGTCAACTCTTATCTCTCCAATAAAACATAAAAAATAAATAAATAGAAGTGTAGTAGTGAACTCACTTGGCAAATGGTACATCTCCAACTTTTATCAGTAGATATTAGCATTGAATATGAGTCAATTGTTGAGAGCTTAAATTTTCTTATATATTCAACTATCTTCTCTTCTTCTAAACCTGTTCCCACATACCCAATTTTATCACTTAGTTCAACCAATTGCTGCAAAAAAAAAAAACTATATTGTAAAGAGAAATTAACTTATATATCGTCAAGGTAAAGAATTTTTACACTATCAGTATATTTAAAAGACGAACCTCGTATGACATATCATCTACATCTAGTCTCCAAGATCCATATTGATCATCCCCTTCTATATCTCTAGCATATTGCAAGTTGTGTCTGAGTATCATAATCTACAACGATAACGAGAAATGTTCAAGATAGTAAATAAGGACGGGATTGATGTAAACATCAGGGGCAGATAAGTTTTTTTACTTACATGAGGACGATGATGAGAACGAGGGCAATGATGTCTTGTATTAGACGTATGAGACCTAGAAATTGCTTCACCATTCGTAGACGTTCTCCTCGCAATACGAGAGTGCTATTCGATTGAATTAAATCCAAAACAATACACAATTTAGTAAGTTTTTATTAGTGAATTGTGACATTGAGATGAACTTAATCATACAAAAACAGAGGAGTAATGTAGCAAAAGCAACAAGGTCTTACAGGATGTAATGTTGCTCAGAGTCTTCAAAACTGTCACGAGATTCTCTAAAAGTAGTGTATTATTGAAGGATCTGACACATATGTGGTAGTATTTTTGTAGAGTTTTGAGTGATATAGATAGGATCTAGTGTATATGTTACGGGTTCATGATAAGTCAGTAGCTTTGAGTCAGACCTTATATATGTGTTAAAAAATTCACCAAACAAATACAAATAGTCGATATCGAATTCAGTAAATCAAATGGATTGTGATAAAAAATCCATAAAGTTCAAATTCTAAACCGCCTCTAGTTGTAAACCTATAAAGTCCATAACAGGACTTTTATATAACTGTAACCAGGGACAACAGGGGAGACAATCTCACTCCTTTTAAACAAGTCACATTTACTATACGTAAAATAAACGAATTTAAGTTTTATGCATTGACGATGTAAATAAAAAAAAATACTGACACAATCAAGTCCTTTGAAATTTAGCTAGTAATAACTGGTCAAATTTTTCCCCGCTATCGGTCTCTCAACCGTTTTTAGCCTTGGACGGAATTCATTTGCCTGATTTGGGCTACATTCCCAAACTACTCGACTCTAAAGCAGTGCCTCATCGTGCAACAGGGTCCGGACATAACGGGGGCTCTCACTCTCTCTCTTGTACCCCTTTTTAGGGAACTTAAACCCGATCCCCCTTTGAGGACACTTCTCCATACTACAATGGTAAGTAATTTACTATAACATATATCCCTCCATCCCAAAATAAGTGTTGCTCTACGAATTCAAGACACAAATAATAATTATTTCCAACTATACCCTTGTATTAAAAAACTTCTTCTCATTAATAGTGCTCAATTCTCAAGAAATATTTAGTAAATAAAAGTAACTTAGGAAATATCCGTTCTTTTTTTTTCTTAATGGTCCTGAAATGAGCTAAAACGACACTTATTTTGAAAGTATATATAACTTAAATCCATTATAAAAAGGTCATTTACCTCTCTTTTACTATTTGATCTTGTTTTTGGCCTAGGAGAAACATCAAAAGTAGAACCAATTCTCAAAAAACATCTAATAAATAGTTGTAACATACTAAACTATACCTCATATTTCTTATTAGCGACACTTATTTTGAAACGAAGCAAGTAAATTACACTGATCAGTATATATAAGTTAAATCCATTTACCTCTTTGTTATTTGATCTTGTTTTTGGCCTAGGAGCAACATCAAAAGCAGAACCAATACCAGGAGGAGCACAACAAACAACATTAGTTGAATTCCTAGTATTTGTTGTCAATGTTGTCATCTTTTTCCTTCTATTTTTCCTCATTTGCTTACTACTACTCTCCCATTGTGCTGCTGATCTAATAACTTCCGGCGCCGACGCAACCAGTGAGTTCAATTTTCCCTTACATCCTAGCCCTCCAAAGCTCATAGACATAAATTTCTTCTTGTTTTTTGATACATTTGAGTCATTTGTGTTGGAAAATTGATGATTAGGGGTAGAATGAGTGTTGTTTTTTGGATCTTTGAATGTTGAATATTGATGATCAATTGTTGATATTGGCATTGTGTTAAAGAAAATGAAATTTAGAGAGATCACAAAGTAGAAGAAGAAGAGAACAAATGAATTATTGTTTCAAAGGTTTTTTGGTTCATTTGTATATGGTTTTGAAATATTTGAAATTATGTGCCTCCCTTTGTCCTATTAGGAAATGTTTCGTCGGTTAGCTGCTTAGTAAATGATTCTTGTTTTTTTTTTAAAGTTATGATGATTTAAATATCTTATTGAGCGAATTGAATGAGAAAACGTTAGATCGCAGGTTTTGTAGACGTTAGATGACAGTCCAATATATTTTGTTCATGTAAATCGTAACCTAAAAATGATCATTTGCATAAATGGTGGTTCAATTAATGTGAAAACGTTCAGAGTACGAGAGCTAAAGTATTTATTTTTTTAATGTGAATTTTGATATATTTAAAAATTATATGAAGATTACTATAAGTCAACATTGTTAACAACTAAAAACGCCATATTTAAAGAAAAAAAGGTTTTTTATGTAATCAATAATATTGTCACATGAATTGGGATGAAGAAATAAGTGTACATATAACTGTTGATTTTTATTGAAAGTTGTTTTTCATACTTTGGATCTGTTGGAGGGTGGCAAAATTATTGATTTTTTCAAAATACAGTTGTTTTCTGTCTTTTTCTTTGTGCTGTTTTTAATTTGGAAACAAAATACTTGGTGTCTTATTATTAGTACTTTTATTTTGTAAATATTCCTTTTTGTACTTTTTCACCTTCCCTTTTACCTTTTCTAATAATTATAATTATTTGAGAGACATTTTGTCTAAGCCTTTAGGTAAATTTGAATTCTGGGGAAAATAAAAAGTTATTTACCTATATACAATATTTTTTTTTTCCTGTATACAATATTAATAATAATAAATTAATAGTTTTCACTACTAAAAGATCACTCTTTTGGCTTTCAAAAAAATTTTCAATGACTATTTTCAAAGATTTTTTTGATTGAATCGGCGAGAAAATAAAAAATAATTATGTTTTCATACAAATTTTTTTTAGAATTTTCTTCACTATTTCAGTGAGAATCTGTATTCTATCATGTATTTTTTCAATGAGTTGGTTAGGTAGAAAAATCATATTTTATAGTTTAAATTTCTTACGTGGCTGATTCTGAATTTCCATTAAGGGGTTTGGAAAAAAAAGAGTAGTCCTTATGATTTGAACTTACAACTTCTAGGTGAATTTCGAACCCCTCAATCACTAAGTCAACCTTTAATCTTACATTTAGAAAGTTCAAAATCAATACATAAACATAAAAACTCTCTAAAATACCTACAAATATATAATGTAATTTTTTGCCGTGAACCTCCTCAACTACCTCTAGGTCCTCCCCTGAATGGTAGCCGATAGTAAATATCTTGTGAAACTAGTTAGGTGCGATAGGTTAGCCCGAATATCACGATTATAAAAGAAAAATGAACCTATGATTATATTTTCTTTACCCTTTTGGCTTTGCTGTCGACAACTTTAATCAATTTAGTCAGTGTTCAGTACTATTTTGGAGTTGAATTCATAATTATAATAACTTTTAGGTCATTTCACTCCTTTATATGAGCTAACATCATTTGAGCATGGTTAAATCCACTAATCATATATACTGTACAAATATTTTTTACAACCCTTTATATATTCTCTCAGTGAGGTTCGAAAAAGATGGTGTGTATGCGATCATATTTTTATTTTGTGAAGTATTGAAAGAAAAATAATAGTGAAAAATTAATGTACTTTCTTTGTTTCAGTTTGTTGCCTTATTTATTTTTTTAGTAACTTTCTAATTTTAACTTTCCACATTACATGCCACAATGTTAAATATATTTTGATGCATTTTACATATATATCTTTAGTTTAAGACCATACGATTCAATTTTTTTTTACTTTCTAAAAATTCATGTCAAATAAAAATCAGACAAATAAATTAAAAAGAGAGTAAAAAATAAGCCGCTATCAGAAAGAGTACATAGCCGAAGCAACGAAAACAACAAGTAATAATAAAATTAAAGACTTAATAATGCTCAATTACCTACACTATTAGCCTTCTATTCTAATTTTCGATCTTGATAAATTTTAGGCATGTCATGTCGGATCTACCTTTACCTCTCCTGAAAACCATCATAAGTCTTATATGTAAAAAATGAGACTTAAGAAAAATAAAAAAATAAAAATATGAGACTTGAAATCGCATGTGTTTTAACTTCTATCTACCATAAGGACATATTTGGTATTTACTCTGGTTACTGCTAAATAAGTCTTGTAAGTGAGCCATCAAAAGTTGTACCCTTATTCTAATCGACGAAAAAAACAAATGACATTTTATTAATCACATTTATGTCCCCACTGTACAGTACCACAATTTGCATGTATTGAGCTAAATTTGTCAGCTCTAACTAGGCGTTTGACCATGCGATACCATATCACGATATGGAATTGTAAGATGGAATCAGCGTTTGGACATGCGATTTTACGCTGATTCTATACCATGATTCCATATTCTCCAAAAATCATGATATGAGAATTCCATATCACGATTTGAGATATTTTTAGTACAAAAATTGATCCACAAGTTTATATTTTGTTAAAACAATCCCACATTTATATCTACCTAACCATTTATTTCATATGTAAATAAAATATATAATCACATCATTACTTTTTAAAATTTATTATTCTCGTCGACATAAAATTTATTATTCTCACTACATATAGTCACTTTAACTCACACCAACCGATTGCTAAGTAATAAATTTGTTCTCTTCATTTAGTCCAAAACCTAATTTATCACTTCTACCGTTTTGTATTTATTACAACTCAAAGTAACAATGTTGGTTCGTCTTCTCGGTCACATGATCGAGAAATGCAAGTTCAACGTGAGAAAATTGTCCATACTATGTAAGAGGATTATATTAAAGACTAGTACACTACAATTAATGTTCAATTTTTTTTTATTGAATTAAAGTTTGATGAAACAATTACTTAAATTGAGAACAAATAGCTTTGTAATAATTTATTATGCAATTTTTATAATTTTTTATTTATTTGGTAAGATTAAATAAACAATTGGGGCTATTTTAATAGTTTTACAACTTATGAGATTCTTACGCTTATGAGAAAATATACAACACAAAAATTCCATATCGCATGTCCAAACAAAACTTCAATTTCATCTCATAATTCCATATAATGATATCATATCATGATACCATATTGCATGGTCAAATGGGCCGTAAGTTTAATATAACACCCATAGAGTAATTTCCCGAGATAGTCACCCATGTTTGGAAAATTACGTAATAATATCACTTTTGTTTGTTGTAGGACTACAATATCACCTAACTTTGCATATTTTCCTCAAAATATACTTCACACAAAAAAAACATCTTTCTCTCTCCTAATGAATGTCATGTCACATATTATTCCCTTTTCACTAATAATTAAAAAAAAATAGCTTTTAAATCAACCCATATGATATACTCGGTAAGAAAATAATTACATAACACAAAGTGAACATTTTTAAACAAACTAATATTTATTTTCTGTTACTATGATTAACACTAATTATTTATTCGAAATCATTTTTCCAATCATTCATTCTTTAAGTTCTTATAGAATGCTCAAGGTGAACATTAAAAACAAGTAAAAGTGAACCAAAAAAAGAAAAAAAAAGTGACATTAGATAACAATTTTCACGTACTGATAAAAAAATCAAAAGTATTATATCAACTAACTCTTTTACGAATTTTTTTCTAGCCACTATTCCCTTTGTCCATTTTTATTTATTCATTACATTATAAATAATTGTTCATTTGTTACTTGTTTATTTTAGAAAATCAAGTGATAACTTATTACTTAATTCCTAATTCACTGTTATTATTAATTATAGTCATTTGCCGATGCATTTTTTAAAATATAAAATTTATTATTTTCAAAGACGATTGTGAGATAGGAAAGAAGAAGGAAAAGAAGAATCGAAGACTAAGTAACAACGGAAAACAAAACTATCGATGGTGATTATGAGATGGAAAAGAAGAAGGAAAACAAGAACCGATAACTAAGTAACAACGAAAAACAAAACTATCAACAACAATTATGAGATAGAAAAGAAGAAGAAAAAGAAGAACCGAAAACTAAGTAACAACGAAAAACAAAACTATCGACGGCGATTGTGAGATAAAAAGAAAAAGAAGAACCAAAAACTAAGTAACAACGGAAAACAAAACTATCGACGGCGATTGTGAGATAGAAAAGAAGAATCGAAAACTAAGTAACAACGGAAAACAAAACTATCGACGATTTGTGAGATAGAAAAGAAGAACTGAAAACTAAGTAACAACGTAAAACAAAACTATCGACGACAATTGTGAGATAGAAAAGAAGAAGGAAAAAAAGAACCGAAGACTAAGTAACAACGGAAAACAATACTATCGACGGCGATTGTGAGATAGAAAAGAAGAACCTAAAACTAAGTAACAACGAAAAACAAAACTATCGACGACAATTGTGAGATAGAAAAGATGAAGGAAAAGAAGAACCGAAAACTAAGTAACAACGGGAAACAAAATTATCGACGGCGATTGTGAGATAGATTAGAAGAATAAAAAGAAGAATCGAATACTAAGTAACAACGGAAAACAAAACTATCGACGACAATTGTGAGATAGAAAAGAAGAAGGAAAAACAAGGGAAGATAAAATTATCGACCATGATTGTGAGATAGAAAAGAAGAAGAACCGAAAACTAAGTAACAACGAAAAATAAAACTATCGACAATGACAACGGTAATGGTGCAATGCCACTGCCGTTTGATACCTAGAATAGCATCTCCCACACGCAAAATGCCAGTTTCGGTGGACAGTCCAATTTCGGTGGACGCAAAATGCCGTTTGATACCTAGAATATCCCTATTTTCATAGCAGAATACAATAAAATCCACAATGTAATCGCTTAGAGATTTTAGTTTATGGAGAGATTTATTCTTTTAACAGTTTTAGTATTTTCTTTTATATTAGTTTTTCATATAATAATAATATTATGTTTTTGGTTAAGTTTTTGTCATCTAATTTATTATCATATGATTTGCAATTGTAAGCTTCCGCATGACACCCTAATCACCTTCATAACCCA